CCTCCACCCCACCCCCCACCCCCCACTGAGAGCTGGCCCAGCCCGTCCCTCCTCCCTCTCCCTCCTCCCTCCGGTATAGGGATCAAAGCGGGGGTTCCCCACGAAGCCACAAGTGGTGCCGAGGACAGGGAGCTGTGGGGAAATCAAAGGTGAGGCAAGAAAACTCATTCCCCTCCCCGGGGGGCCCGGATGTGAACTGACAGACGTGGAGGGAGTCACGTACCGGAGAGACGTGGTTGGGCAAAACGTGTCATTCCAATAACAGCCACTTTTTAACATAAAAGTCACCCAAAGCAAATCCCCGCCAGACCGGACTTGCTGGGCTTCCTGCCGCACTGGGCCGCCCCTCCCCACCCCCCAGACATTGCAACACCGGCTGCATGACGGCAGGTGATGGGCGGGGAGAAGGTCTGCGAGTAGCCCCAGGCAGCTGGCAGGGACGTCCGTCCTCATCCCTGGCCCTCCCCGCTGCCCACACTGGCCATGCCAGGTCCCCTGCTGCTCAATGTCAAGGGCAGGCATAAAGCGGGCAAAACCGCGTTCCTACAGAGCCCACGGTCCTGGGCTCAACCGCGTGGCCTCGGCAAGCCTGCTCTGCCTCCAGAGATAACAGCACCCTCCCCGGGGAGGCTGTTGGGGGGCCCAGCGGGTTGGCAGCTATCGACAAGGTGCTTAGGACCCCGCTGTCGCGGAGGGGCTGTGCCCCGATGCACCTGCCGTCTTCCTCCTCTTCCTCGCCACCATCGCCGGCCTGGTCTGGGGCACGACCCTGAATGCTAATCTCGCCCTCTCGGTTTTGCCAGCCTCTCCTGCCTCGGCCGGGTGAATGAAACCCGGCGTGGAGCCGCAGAGAGGAGGGCCGGGCATGAGCCCGCGGTTCGGCGTGCCTCTAACCTGCTCCCTGGCCTCGGGTCACCGTCCACAACATCGAATGGACTTCTAGGACTGCGATTCGGGGACCAGTCTCCGGACAAACCGGTTCAGTCGGATTCAGGCTGCGTGTTCCGAGTAGTCAGAAACCTCGCCAAGCATGGGGGCCCCGTCCCCGTCTGCCTCCCTTGGGGCCACTCGGAGACTCCCTCCCTGAGGTTTCCCACACACGGACTCGGGATTTGGCCCAAAGACACCTGAGCAGGAGGCTGGGGTTGGTGTCATGAAACAAGGTGGCCGGGTTTCATCATTTCCCTGGAAATCCGGCTCCTGACCTCTCCCAGAGCTGGGCTCACACTCGTTTTGGCTCTGGCGTGTGGCTAATCTGCAAGGCAGATTTCTCCTCCAAGAACCTAGACCTAAGTGCTTTCCTGTTTGGGCAGGAGGGTGACCCTGACTGCACCATAAACTCTGGTCTAATATTTAACTAACTTCTGCTTCCAGGGCATGTCCCCCTCAGGTTCCAGCAAGTTCTCCAGCAGGGGATGACGGGACGTGTGATCCTCTGAGCCCTGCACCTTCACGGTTCCACGACGTTCTGTGAAGGCAGGAGGTGGAGGAGACCCCGGGGGACCAGGAACCCCCAGACCTGCCGTGGTAAGTCTCCAATAAGTACCAGCATGTCGCACGTCCCCTCCACCGATAAACACTTGCCAAATGGACATAAAACGTTATTTGGTAAGAGGTGCTCAAAAAGGGTTGAACTGGGACGCCTGGGTGGCTCAGTCGGTGGAGCATCCGACTTCGGCTCAGGTCATGATCTCGCGGTCCGGAAGTTCGAGCCCCGCGTCAGGCTCTGTGCTGACAGCTCGGAGCCCGGAGCCTTCTTCGGATTCCGTGTCTCCCTCTCTCTCTGCCCCTCCCCCACTCACGCTCTGTCTCTCTGTCTCTCAAAAATAAACATTTTTTAAAAAGCGCTGAATCGAACTCCAGCCGTTGGAGCATCGCCACTATCGACAGAGGGTCATTTTGATCGGAAGAAGAAAGTGTACTGGGTACGTAGAAACATTTGGGCACCACACGGGTCTGTTATCTCTCCTTGGCTTGGTTACAGCCAGTAAAAAATAAACCAAAGTGCTCGTCGGCTCACGTAACCGCTCCCGTGCCACAAGAAAGCTTCGCCACGTAGGACGCGTGTACCCTGTGAAAAGCCAAGTAAACCCCCTCGGTGGCTGCGGTGAGCCAGCCCAGGCTATCCACGGTCACGGCTGCCTCGACTGCTCAGGCCCTTCTCCACCGCCCAGGAGAGTCTAGCCAACCAAGGGGGTGGGCGGGATAAGGGTCACCGGTATGGACTCGGGTATCGGCACGGCTTTTGTCCACTTGTTCACTACGTGTCCGGTGGATGGACGGATGGATGGACGGATGGATGGACCTCATAGGAAGAACTACATACCGTAGTTATATTAGAAACGCTAGAACAGCACAGGATTTCACTTCCTACCTTACACATCTCTGTCATTCTTAAAAACCACAAGTATGCATATTATTTTCAACGGTCAAGAAAACGAAGAGAAAAAAAAACGCTCTCCTCGAAGAAAAGAATCTCGTATTTACACTCCAGTGTCCCACCCATTTCTGCCCGCGGTGCACGGGAATGCCCTGGGAGCTACGGGAGAGTTTGTCTCCTGTCTCCCCCTGGGCAGCTGCCCGTCCTTCCGCTTGTCCCTCAACTCCGCTGGCAGTCCCTGTCCCCTGCAAGTGCTGCCTCCTCCCTCTCCAGCCCACCGGGGTCAGCCAGGGGAGAGCCGACTGCTAAAACCACAACATTCAGATCAGGAACATGACATCAATCCACATCTCGTCTCCGGTGGGATTTTACACAGCTATTTTTTTTTTTCCATTTTTCCCATGTTTTTATTATTTTTATTTTTGAGAGAGACAGAGTGTGAGCAGAGTGGGGGCAGGGAGACCCAGAGTCCGAAGCAGGCGCCAGGCTCCGAGCCGTCAGCACAGAGCCCGACGCGGGGCTCGAACTCACGAGCCGCGAGACCGTGACCTGAGCTGAAGTCGGACGCTCAACCGACGGAGCCACCCAGGCGCCCCATTTTACACGGCTATTCTTAAAGAATCAGGTTTTGAGTAGCATTTACCCACACGGAAAATGCTCACCAAATAACGTTCACGGAAAAAGAAATACCAGAACCCCACCCTGGGCACACAGTGCACACGGGATTTTCTGGGAAACATCTACGAAGAGGAGTTGGGTGAACACAGTGTTAGAGGTTAGCGGGAGATTAGAGTCGGGACTGGTCTCCCTTTGCCCTCCGTGTGTTTGCAGTGCGACCCAGGTCGTCGGCGATCGTCAGCAGTTCTGACTTTCATAATGAGAAAAATTGTTTTTGATCGACTGGGGGGTTGCTCGGCAGAGGGAGTGACGTTCAGCTTCACTCCGAACGATAGAAATGCAAAATAAAACCAAAACGTGGCATAAATGTTCACCCATCCCACTGGCAGAATACCCATCCACGGTGGAGGCACTGGAGGCGCCTGGGCGGCTCAGCTGGTTAAACGTCGGACTTGTGCTCAGGTCCTGAGCTCAGGGTTCGTGAGTTCGAGCCCCGCGCGGGCTCTGTGCCGACGGCTCGGAGCCCGGAGCCTGCTTCCGATTCTGTGTCTCCCTCTCTCTCTGCCCCTCCCCGGCTCGCACTCTCAATCTCTCTCTCAAAAATAAATGAAAACATTTTAAAAAAGAAAGAAAGACATGAAATCAATGAATAAATTAGAACTATCTGAGGGGCCCCGGAAGGCAGGAGACCTCGGTCCTCTGGGTGCCCCCCCTGGCCCTGGTGCTCAGAGCGGAGCCTCGGGGGGCAGACCGTGGCCAGGCTGGGGCCCAACAGTACTTGCCTGAGGCAGCGATCTACGTCCTGGTCACTCCGGCAGTACTGGAGGCCTCCGTGTCTCAGGGCATCCTCGGGGTTGGCAAAAGCCTGGAATACGTCAGCGAGAGTTACTGGCCTAGCCCCCTCCACGTGCCAAGTGCTGGCACTCGCCATGACCAAGGCTGCTATGGGCTGAACGTGTGCCCCGCGGATTCGTATGTTGAAAGCTGACCTCCGAGGTGATGGTGTTGGGGAGCGGGGGGGGGGGTGGTCCTCTGGGGTGATTAGGTCAGGAGGGTAGAGCCCTTGGGAATGGGATTAGTGCCTTTAGAAACGAGACCCCAGAGAGCTCCTTCACCCTCCTGCCACTAAAGGATACAGCCGGAAGACGGCCATCTGTGAAGCAGGAAGTGGGCCCTCACCAGACGCGGAATCTCCAGGCACCTTGCTTCCAGAATGGTGAGAAGGAAGTCTGCTGTTTACAAGCCCCGCCCCCCCCCCCCCCCCCCCCCCCCCCAGTCCAGGCCCCGTGTGCCCCCGACACTGTTATAGCAGCCGGAACAGACGAGGGCAAAGGCCCTCATGTCCTGGCTTGTGGGAAGCTCACAGTCTGATGGGGGAAATGGCTTACGAACCAGGGAAGACCAGGTGGTGAGTGTTAAACAAAGAGAAGACAAGGTTGGCCTTGAGAATGTTTCCAGCAGACCTGATCAAGCCTGAGGGTCAGAGGCGGCTTCTCTGAGGCAGGGGCATTCAAGCTAAGCTTTGAAGGAGGCAACAACATGAGCCCGATGAGGGCGGGCTGGAGAAAGAGCATTGAAGACATCCAGGAAAGCATGTGCAAAGGCCCTGGGGTCAGAAGACGATGGGGGTGTTTGAAGAACAGAAACCTAGTGTGGCTGGAGTATAGAGAGCGAGGGACAGAGGCCCAAGATGAAGTTGCTGGGGTCCCGAGGGCACTCTAAGACTTTGGACTTTGAACTAAGAGCAGTGAGAGGGTTTTTGACAGTTCCACAAAGACTAGCTGCCCATTTCTTCGCTTCCCTGAGCCTCAGCTCCCTCATCCGTGAACTCTGGATCAAGCGGAGCTCACTTCCCGCGCGAAGAGTGAAGGGGAGAACTGGAGAGGCCTCCGCCCAATGCCGGGCACTGGGAGCACCGGCATGGGGAAGGTGCTCGACGAATAGTCTGCGGACAGCAGAAACTTCAGGTCACGTTTCCGTCACCGGAGGCCCACGTCCAGCGCTCACCAACCCCACAGCAAACATGAATCTCAGCAGCACGCTTTCTGGATTGCTCACCCAATGGCAAATACTGCCGCCTCTGACTCATGAGCCCTGGTGACCCCTGTCCCCAAGCTCTGGTGCGTCCCACCTGTCCCACGCCTGAGGCCCGTCAGGGTCAGGATCAGAGCCCCCACACCCAGAATTCCTCTCCACTGGCCCTGCACTCGTGGAATCGCCAATCCCGATGGGCCGGCACAGAGTCCGTGGACCCATGACTCCCTTCAAAGGGTCCTAGGCCCGGGTCCGAGGGGTGGCTCGTTCCTAAAGACAGAACTGGAACACAAGCCCGCCGGGCCGGGAGCCGGTCGTAGGGCAGACCGAGGAACCGCTGTCGTCCGAAGCTAGAATTGCTACCTTTAATTGGGACAAGGGGGCAGGCCGTTGGATGCACTCCCGGGACCGAGCTGTGGTTGCGGCCTTCGAGTGAATTCCAATTGTTCGTACGTAATGAGAAGTCACGCTTGCTCTGCGCCAGGTGCCGAACTCGCCCGGCTCGAGCGTGACTATCCCCTGCTTTACAGATGAGGAAACGGCTCCTAGACTCGCCCCAGGGGCAAAGGGTGGACGAGTCAGAGCCCTTATCTGTCACCTGCCCAGGGATGTGGCTTCCAGGCTCCTTCCTGGCATGGGAGGGAAACTCACAGACAGTAAGGAGCCTCTGGGGGACAGCCCCAGGGAAGGTTTCTTTCTGGCACTCTCCACCCACCAGAGAGAAAGGCACTCTCGGGTTTCCCTCCTTCTATCCCTGAATTCACATTGAAGAGGGAGGCTCCGGACCCCTGCGCTTTGCTGTTGAGAACTCTATCCCCGCCCCCGCCCCCTCCGGACAGGTTGTGGGGCCGGACAGCCCCGTTCAAACCCTGCTGTGTGGCCTCACAGGTGTCCTCTCCCGGAAGACAAGGTGAATGTGGCTCCCACCTATTAAACGCTCAGCTCCAAGGAAGGACTTAATGGCTGAATGCACCTGTCCCTGCTGGGTTCCCCGTATCCCGCATCCAGGACCGGGGTGAGGCAGGGAGGAGGCAGGGGTCATCCGGGTGCCTGTGTCTGTGCCTCTGGGCGTTAAAGCCGTCCCGCCTTCACCCCTGCCCGCGCCTATGCCAGGGGCTGAGTCCGAGACTCCCCAGCAAGACCCCCACTCCTGGGTGTCCACACCCAACGTGATGCCAGAGCTAACCTTGCCTTGCCTTTGACAAAGGCGGACAAAGGGGCCACGGTTTCTGGAAACGAATCCTGTACTGAAAAATAGGACAGCCGGCCGGCTTGGCCCAAAACT